GGTTTTATTTTACAGACAAAGTAGTGCTCAGTGAGAAAAGTCTCAATGTTTCACTAGCCTGTTACTGAAGCACAAACATCTTGTATGGGAATGTAACATATTTTGTGGAATGCAGTAAAGACCAGATTTCCCACATTCCCGGTCCCTGGTATAATTACAACATCTTGAGACAACTGTTAGCGTGTTGCTACAGTCACTGTTATGTTACTGCTTAGTTAATTTCATGTTTTAAATGTTAGTAAAATGTGCCACCCTGTGGCCCCTTTAAGTCGATATTTTGTGACAGCAGAAGAAGAGTTAAACAGGAAGTTCATGTTTTCTTGCTATGCTGTTTCAAGATGGCCGCGCCACATTCATGTTCTTCTTTTGGGTGTTTGTTAAAGCATTGTCTGTAAGTATTTAATGGTAAAAAGCAATGAGACACTCCAAGTGTTGTCTTTATGTGTGATGGACCACAGTTAACAAGTTTTCAATGTGCTATTCATATGTAAATGAGATCGCCGGTTCATATGCTAATTAGCGGTGCTAATCGTCATGCTAGCTTCTCAAATGCATTGTTAGGTCATTGGTTTAAGGCACATGTTGTTGTTAACAGTGCAGATGAGTAATGTACATTTCCACATATGCTTTATTGTTACAGTTTCACAAAATGAAAGAATCGGTAAACTTCATAAGCTCTCATCTATTGTCTGGAGTTCCTGGGTTCATGTTTAGCTGTTTGGATAGCTAGTCAGACTTCTAGCGAGGCCATTTACAGTTACGTACAGCTGAAGTGAAAATAAGAATTTTTGACTTTTATGGAGGTGACTTACTCTTGAAGGCGGGGTACATGGGGACAGTGTTGGTGATGAGCGAAGCGTCATATCTGGACTCGGGAGATGTTGCCAGCTCTGTCAACACAAACGTGTGAGTCACACCTGTCTTATCATCCACTGTTTGCACATATCCAAACAAGCTCGTATAAGATGTTGACATCGCAGAAACGTCGCTCAGAAGTTGTGACAGTCAAAGTTAACCCAGTGAAATTTCTGGTTATTGGAATGATTTCCTATTTTCCCGGCACTCCGCTGGAATTCCAGTGTTTTCCTCCTCAAATATCATTTTAAATGTAACTATATTATGTTAAATAACATAAGCTATAGTGCTAAGTTTGGACAAATGAACTCCCCCATCATATGCAACAAGGTGGCCTGGTCCACTTCCTGTCGTTCTCCAACTTCCTTGGAAAGGTGAACTTCAGGAAACTGGTTCTCAGGGCCCTGATTGCCATCCTTATTTAAGGGTTACACTTTTATTTTCACATAATTGATATTTTATTTTCTATAATATTCCTCTATGACTACATCAGTTAAATCGTCAAGAAGCTCAAAACCTAAACGACTTTTTCGATTACAATTAATATCTGCAAATTAATATTACAAATAACTCAACATAATATAATTTAATCTCATTTATACTAAGATTTTATGATGTTTGCACAATGTATACAAAGCAACATGAATATTTCTGCACAGAGGGTCCTGTGTTCACCCTGTGGTGCTACCTGGGGGGAAGAGGAAGCCATATGTGAGGTGGGTGTTCTGGCCGTAGGCGCTGCAGCTGTGACTGTGATCAGCTGACACTCTGGCGTCGACTCGGATGCACTTAGCACTCGGAGAAGCATCTGGTATAGGAGTCATGTCCTCCTGTGAGACAGACATGTGACAACATACAGTGAAACTGAACCAAAAATGTGGTTAATCACAGTCAATTCATGATTTAACAGCAGGAGCATTATTTTTATCCTGCATAGGGCCGGGTAGGGTTAATGTTTTTATTCCCTTAATAAATGGAAAAAGGGTTTGTTTTGTCATTTAATGGTTTCAGTTGCACTTTGATGCAGCTGAAAGCATCTAAGATAAAAGTGAGAGTGAGAGTGAAATTCAGATGTAATCCTGGGCGCTATTACAATGTTTACTTCCACTCATGTCTGCGTGTTTTGGCATTCATGCATGACGATGTGTATGCACGGAGCAGGTGTGCCATATGTGAGCAGCTGCACAACATCACAACAACACCTGCAACGAGTCAAACACGCACGTTCACCGAATCACAGGCCGAGTGTGTTTACTGGAGTGGCTGTTGGAGATTTCATGTTTGCATGTTTTCAGAGCTCGCTCACATCCTGCTGCGACACAAACACAGTCGCTCACTGCAAACAGCACGTACAGAGTGCCTCTAATGTGGTTTAACCTCATTTATATCAACGAAGTTCTGAGAGTGAAGAGAGGAAGAAGACGTCTGTTTACATGCTGGACACGTCTGGACACGTCTGCACACGCTGTTCGTGCAAACGCAGGGCAGGGTTCAAAAACTACAGTCACTGTAGTTTTGACCATAAATGCTACATTTCAAACATTTCAAACTAATCACCTGAGTAAAGACTTTTGTAATAGTCTTTACTCAGGTGTCAGTCT